ATTCTCGGCTTCCGTGAAAGCATACAGTGCAAGCTGCGGATTTCATGTGCTCAAACACTATCAAACTGACACGATCGTTCGCTATCTATAGCCAGGTACCCATTTCCACCTAGGTGAAGTGAGGAAAAATTGTGCAAAGTACCTTTCTCAAGGACACTATGTAGAGCGCCTGACTGGATTCGAACCCACGACCTTACGGTTGCGAGGCCAAGAGCCTATAACCACTAGGCCACCGACGCCTCGTTCTACTAATACCTGTCTCCCAATCGCCTCTTCCCCCCACCTGTCTTATTTTCTACGTATTTTCTCCGAAACAGCACATTGAAGGTGTCTTTGTACTTCGTGCTCATGTTATAGTAGACGAAAATGTTAACGCTCGAATTAATCGACTCCAGAATGAAACAAAACGAAAATACAACAAAGAAAATATTCCTGTACTGCCCATCAATGCTAAATTCTGGCTCCCTCGCCATAAAAAAGAATACAACAGTCACCGGACAGAAACAGCTGATGAAGATCGTTGAAATAAAACTGACCATTTTAACGACTCTCTTCTCTTTGCTGGATATTTCAGTAGTTTTTCCAGGCGCAGTGGAGGTTTTCCGCCATTTTGCCTTTTCGTTGAGCTTCAAGACTAGAGTGATTGTGCAGACGATCACTACCAAGAAGGCGCCAACAGGAACCACCACGTTGTTGATCATGAAAGCTACGCTCTCGATCTCCTTGCGGTCATCCGTGAAAGACAACACGAGCAAGGATTTGTTCCTGTTGGGGAAAAACTTCCAGACAAGCCGGCTCGTGTAGTACACGGGTGAGACAGTAGCAATGAGGAGGAGAAAAATGGAGACGATGAGAGCCACTGTCCTTCTGGGCGTCAGAATCTGTTTTACTTTGAGAGGAATTGCAATACATAGACACCTGGGAAGGAGAAAAGGAAACATAAGTATATTCATATTTCATATAATTTGGTCTTGATTGGTGCCTTCCACAAACGTGGGGAAGAAGTCAATTTGAGTACCCCCCCCCTCCCCCATTTGTAACTTACTTGATCTGCTTCACACATCCAGGTTCTCCACTCTCCCTGCAGCCTCAGCTGCCCACAGACCCCAACGTTGAAGGATCGGACAGACATCACTCGTTCGGGTGGTAGCGATTCAAAATTAAATATTTTTTTCATTGAACTTTTGGAGAAAATATGTAGCTGCCAGAAGGATAACTTACACAAGCAGGCTCATGGGAACACATTCTATGACGAGAAGAGCTGGGTGTCAGATGTGAAAAATCCCTTGTTGAAATGCATTATTATGTCAACATTATGTTTTCGCTTATTTCACTGAATGTGGCATCTCATGCTATCGTATGAGAAAGAAGAACGTAGCACAGTTAAGCTGTTCAAACTCTATCTGGAATATGCATCTGGGAATGAGGACCATGTTCAAGCACAGCAGAGAGAAAACTCGCTCAGAATCACGTTGTGTTCAAGGGGAATAACAAAATGATGCATTAGTTTATCAAACATTTATTTTTGGTTACACCCCTTGCTCAAGTCTGCGCAAGCTGCAGCGAGGTGGCAATTCAAAAATTCAAACAACAATGTTCGGTCGTCGGAAACGCTTTCAAACCACACCCCCACCCTGCTTGCCTCCAACACGGTGCCCTGTTTCTACTTTGCATATCATGATGAAAGTAAATGATATTTGTATGACTTAGATGCCGGCAAAACGACAGGGGCAGGCTGCTTGATGAGTTCGGAATGGAATCCAAGCCTTTCGTGTGCAAGGTAAAGAGCGAAAGCATTACACTACGTACACTTGCAGTGATAAAGACCTGAATTTCCTTTTTTTCTTCTTTTCTTTTCTTCTTTTTTAATATAAATAAATAATGTTCTTATAATTGTTGTCGTGCAATCACAGAAAGACTGGCAATGCCGTGGGTTGTTCTTAGAAAAGAACCGGTATATCATTATCAATATATCACATTCTTGAGAAAATTTCTCTGAGATAAAAGTAAGAATATAGAACCAAAACTAACGGGTCAAATCAGCGAAAGAGCGCACAAGTCCAGTACCTCTCAAAGGTGATGAAGGCTGTGATCCAGCTGCTGATCCTGGTGAAGCAGACGTGAGGCCAGCCAGCGGTCAAGTACTGGACATCGATGGACGAGAAGGGGATGTCTGAGTACTGGAACAGTGGATTGAAGCAGATATTCAGCCACTGTGGACAGCACAAGTTATTTAATAGTAACCAGGTTCCTATTTATTAGAAAAAAATAAGCAAACAAGCAAATAAAGCAGCACCCCCCCCCCCCTTACAACTAAAATATGAAGCGCTCAAATGAGAAACGGCATTCGTTACAGGAAAAGAAATTGAGGACCATTGCGTTTCTGTTTCTTAAACCACTGTTGTCTTTTTCCCGTACATCGATTAAAAATAATATTCCACTATTTAAGAGGCTTTCTTCTTGTTCAAGACTCCAGGTGCTGCTGGAATGATGGACGAAACAGAACAAACCAAGTAAGTTATAGATCAAAACAGACACATTCAAAAGTTGGAAATTGTGACTTACAGCACTCCCTCTCCCCCCTCCCTTGTAATCTTCTGCTGCTGCGCTACACAGGGAATTAACGTCTTTGAAAGAAAACAAGAACAAAATGTGAGGCATCGTGGTGAAATCGGCCGCCTCTCAAAATAGCGAAATCAAAGAAATCGGCATTTTTTGGTTGAGGGGCAATTTTTTTTCTTCTGTTTCTGGCTCAACACCTTTTATATTCATTTTGAAACATATTTTGTGAGTGTATTTTACTGAAAAACACTGATTAAAGGCTAAAAAAACCTCACTTTTCAGTTTTCAAGGACTCTCAGGCTAAGGAAGTTACCAAGTTTTGGTGGCCATTTCCTAGCTGATTTTACCTCGGAAACCAGGCGATCCTGACCTCCTTCAATTGCAAATATTTAGACTTTTTCTACTCAACATAAAAGTATATTTTTTTCACCAAAAAGGAGGGCAAACGAACAGGGTTTAACTTTAAGATGATACCATAACCCCATATGTCCAAAAATTGATGAGCGCCTGATTCCACCACGTAGTGACACAAATTACAATAGATCTATATCAAAACAAAGTATTAAGCGCCGAAAGTTTTACTGGGCGATAAGGAGACAATATTCAAAATCTACCTGAACGGGGTTGAAAGTCTAGCTGAGTTTTTCATACGGAATTTACTTACTCCGCATATCCGGAGTCGTCACCCTGTGAAGGTCAACATGGGATAGCCATACTATTTTAGCTCATTATCTTGAAAAGGGAGAACCCAACTAGACATTTACCTGAATGGTATCCGCCACATACACATAGATCTATGCGTCCCAAACTGCTGGTTTGGAATGGAAAGGCAAAGCTTGCGACAGACCACATTAATGTAAACGAAAAAACTGCTTGAAAAAAGTTAAACCGGGGGGCCGAACTGGCGGTTTCAACGTGTGGATTTTCTGAATACATTTCAGTGCGTTCTGTCGACGACAGCCTTTGTGTGACATCGAGGCGCTCGCAACTGCATAAGGTCATATGAGCGCACGGGACACACCTAATATTTTCAGTTGGTAGGAAATTTTGAATTTTGCCCGGGTGGCGGCCGAAGCCTACTCTTATCGATTTTAGACCACCAAGGGATCTTTAACATGCGCAACTTGCACACGGACCCTCTCAGATTTTTACGCCCTTGTCCGAGAAGGCTAGCTGTAGATCTTTCCTACCAGAAGATCAGGGGTGTGGCAGAAAGATAGCAGTTTGGAGGAGCCAAGGAGTAGCAGTAGAAAGGCTGCAGAAAGAGTCAGGAGCTCAGAGGAGGGGGCAAAGGAGGGAGGGGGTGGGGGCAGAAATTGGAAATGAAAGCAGACAACAGAACATTGCTAGAGAGCAGGAAAGGAGGTGAAATGAGACAATTTTGTCACTGCAAATACTATCTTCAAAATGATTTGCCGCACATAAAATCTGATTACATTTTTTAAATGAGCGACCCATTTTTAAGGCAATTTTCCAGAAGAACGCGTCTTTTTTTCAATAATTAAATAGAAAACAAAATTCATCCCCGTGTCATGAGCAGCACATAAATTGCGAGCAAATCGTCATTGTCAGAACACTCGCTTCGGTTAAACCACACGTGATGTGGATGACGGGCCGACCCGTCGTGTGGCGGTTTCAACGCCGGTTCCCAGTCAGGTTAAAACCGCCCAGTTAGAACGTAATCTATAATATGTGTAGAACTCCATACAGACACTCTTTCCATTTCTTACTATTTGTAACAAATCAAGCGTTCTTATCGGGATATTGTTCACATGACAATCATCAGTAGAAAGTCATGACTCTCACATACCCTAGCGCCTTCTCTCTTGTACATGCAGTACAGGGGTCTCAAACCTGCTGACTGGCAGTGGGCCTATTGGAGCCGGCAGGACCATATTATTTTGCGACTGTCACTTGACGTGTGACCTCAACAAAATTGAGTGTAAGTGTGGCCCTCCCTAAAAGCAGGTGTGGCTTATAGCTATGTGGGAGTAAGCACTGCCACGCCTTTGGAAGTAAAGAATAGATCTTGGCACAAAAAGAAGTCTGTGTTCTGAAGACCCGTTTATAATAAAGATTTAGAAGATTGGATAAGCTGTACTATTTAAAATTCAGCTGTACTATTTAGAATAAAATGCTTTTTTGTTGTTTTTTTGTTAAACATTTGATGCGGCCCAGGCTCATCCAAATTCTGCCCCCAGTAACCATTAGGTAATTAAAGTTGGAGACCCTGCTCTAATGGATCGAATTCTTTATATTGAACAAGAAGTTGTTACAGAAATCGTGTTTTTTTCCTTAGCCATTCAACAACGCTGACAAAAAAAATAACGATGTAATGAAAACACAAGGTACTAACAGATTAAAGCGGTTGTAAATAAACACAACCATCACGGGCACAAATTCAAGACTCAAGACTCAAGAACAAAAACTAAAGAAAAACCCGGAAAACCCCCCCCCAGCTAACACGAAAACTTCATGAGCGACAATAGTAACAACGATAAAGGAAAGAGCCAAAACAGCCGAAACAACCGACTTTGTTGCTGCCTTAACCCATCGGCCAAACACACAAACACACACACACAACAACAACACCAACAACAACAACAATAACAACACCAACAACAACAACAACAACAGCAACAACAAAAATAAGAACAACAACAACAGTAAACAGAAACTGACTTCGAGAAGACTCATATAAGACACTTTACGATCGACCCAAACTCCTACAGCATAGATTCTATACCTGGAGGGTAATGAGACAGCCCAGATCGGAGACGGCCAGCCCAAGGAGGCTTATGTTGACCGTATCCCCGAAGCCTTGTTTGACGAAGATGATGATGTTGATGATATTGGTGACAGTACCGAACACGTTGATGAGGCTGCAGATGATGCAGTAGTTGACTACCACGAACACTTGACGGGTGAAGTCGCTCAGGACTTTGAGGCTCGAACCCCGCCCTTCTGCGTTCTTCCCGTACAAGGAAAAGTCTGTCACATTAACGCTCGTGATTTCCAGCATGCTGGTCATGACGAGGAGCTTAGTAAAAGTAATTATAAAGAAATTTTTCGAAGGCTTTGTTCGCAAATTTGAGAAAATATAATAACTAATGAAGAGGGATGGATTACTTTTTATTTCGAAAATAGTAGCAGATTGCATTTATACTGCGCTCTATCTCTTACGAGCATAAGCTCACTCTTAGCGCTAAGACGATATTTTTTTTAAGTTGATGTAAAGCAAACTGCTAAAGTCAAAATTTAATTCTTAATTTATTTATTTTTAAGTTCTTTTGTGCTCTGTAGAGCTTCGGCGCTGGTTGAAGTTTTCTGTTTCTGTGCATTGGTGATATCGTCTCAGCAGTATATACAGAGGTTTAGATCTATGTTAAAAACCATTGACAGATATTGGCAACACAAAGTTTAATCATTTTTTTAAAAAGCCAGTTACAAAACGAGAAGTGTTTGTATAGCAGTTCTTTAGCCAGTGAAACCTACAGCAGCAGGTGTTCTTTGTATTTATCATTTAAAAAACTTTTCCCTTTATTGAAAAAAGTGTCTTTAATCATCCGACAGAGTAATTACTCCGATTTTGGATTTTTTTTCCTCTGATTTTTTGGGAGGTAAAAGTTGCAAATGTCATCTTTCCGGCGTCTTTGTTAAAAGTTGTAGAAATTTCTCTGTTTAGCTGTGCCGGCAGGCATGTTATCATTACGAGCAATTATACGGGTAATAAAGATGCATTTATCTCTCATTAGATGAAGAATTAATATTTCAGTTAGACTCTGAGCTGCACGAAGACATATATGTTTTCTCGTATAATTTTATCGACCTTGCATCAAAATTGTGTCAAACCAGTTAGACGATCCATTTTATTGACTCAACTTCCTCATACTACACTCAACCACACAACTATCAAGCTTGAACTTTCCACCACCTTTTCCCCCCTGAACGAAAAAAGACTAGATCTAGATCTCGCTCGAAAAACAAAACAAAACCATCATGAGACCCTCTTTTATGGTGACGAATTAGCTAGACCAAAGGAGAGAAAACAGATTTAGAAATATAATGCAAACAGACTTCCATTGAAGAATAATTAATCGTCAAATTGCCCGAGATGTACCCCATTCAGCCCAGCCCTTGCTACAAACTAGCTTTGTTTGTCATCTGAAATTCTAATTCCCCAGAATGTTCCCACTCTCGGTAAATTAGACACTTTAAAAGCAATTGTGGTTTGTTAGACTTTGCAAAATTAAAGCGAAGTTTTTATTGCGCGTTCAGGGTATGTAAATATAATTTTGGCTTTGACAATCTCATTTTGATGGTTTCACTTATAATTATTCAAATGGTTTCGTTCCTTCGGCTCAGGTAACATGTTACATAGGAAATCAAATACACAAAATCTTGAAAGTACTGAATATCTCTAACTGGACTGGCTTAATATTTTTTAGAGTGGTTAATCCTCATTATACGACCGAATTTGTCATCTTTTAATGATTGTTTTATGCTTCCTTCAGCCAATGGTGTGTTATAAGAAAGCCGGAACAAACGTACGTCTACCTCTGGGGCAGTGCCACTGACTGTAGTGTCTTTAGACCATTCCCAAAGGGGGACATTTCTCGTTCAAGTTCAAGCACAGTAGAATTGTAAATGGGCTGATTCATGTCACGCTTATAACTGTGCCTGATCTACAACAGGGAACTGCTGCTTCTTCTTTCTTAATCCTTACTATTATCATTTTCCTCTACTTCTTTTGTATGTTTTTCACTCTTTTGTGACCTGCTATTTCCGGGGTGCTTTGATAGTCGAAGCAGACCTTATTATGCTGTTGAAGCTAGAGTGGTGAGCTGAATAAGTCTGATTCCCTGTAAAGACTTCTCTGTTGACACCCGTCCCTTGGGGCTCATATGACCTTATGCAGTTGCGAACACCATAAAACCATCTACTATAAAAAAAAAATTAATTAAAATTTAAAAATACGTCTAGCTTTTCAGTAGGTCAGGAGAGAAAAAAGGCTTTTGTCCTGTATAGGAATGTTATGGAAACTGATTTTGATGTAAAAAGAAAAGCATTGTTTAGATTTAGTTTTATATTGTAAAAGTTGTACTAGCAGCGCTAGTGATATAAAAAGACAGTAATGAAATTATCCACACTTCATTTTTAGGGGTTCAATTTTTGTTTCTTTTATTTTGTCCCTTTCTAATCCTTTAAAATTATGTCATTTAATTATAGTAACTAAGGGTGCCAAGTGTGATTTGTTACACTTACGACAAAACATCAGCACTATGGTATCTTTACTGTTTGGGAGTCTTGAAAATCAGCTCGTGATAGTTTATTTCGTCAACCATTAAATGAGAAAAACAAAACTGAGTGAGTATTCTTTTACTTCTTTGTTCGTTAGGTTGAGGATAACAACCCGCCAAGATAAATATTTGAGGGGCAGGTCCAATTAATTTTGGCCATCTTACACAGACGATAGGTAAAAACACTGACACTAGAACACAGTGATGGTTTTAGTTGTTAGTCGTCAAAAACTTCCGATTTTGATCTTCTTTGTGTGTCAGTGTCAGAGGAGTGACTTCTCATGTTTAAAGAAAATTCATTTCTTGAAATAAAACCTTTTGAAATTAAAAACAACAACAGGTATTGGGTAAAACAACATTTATTGATCAGAGATGATACATATAATACTGCAGCTACGTTTGCTCAGGCTCGTTAAGCTGTGCCAAAAATGCATCTTTCAAAAAATAAACAATAAAATATAAACCAATGTAAATGCAGTGACAGAAAAAGTTATACTTAAAGAAAATGTTAACAAATGCGCATTTGATAAAGTCAACATTTGAAGCATAAAACACCTTGCAATCTTTAGCAGTTACTTTTTATATAGTTTGTTCTTTGTGTCGTCCGTCATGTGAGAAACATTTTTATCCCTAAGACAAAGATTTTCGATCACTGAATGACACTGGTCTCCAGGAAAATGTCGGACATTGTTTGGCACAGAATTCTGCTCATGATACTCGAATTGGTCCTTCAGCGAACTGAGGCCTAGGCTGTGGGGTTCCAAAACATGAGTCCAGCGACGACTGATGACTCTCTCGCAAGGAGATCTTCATTATATCAAAGAACCATCACCACTTTAGGAAGCATTGCGCTATCCTTTTGGAACTACCGATAATGCCTGCTGTTAGCGTAACAGATACGTTCTACAGATTTCCAAAACTTAGAAACCATTTTCAAGTACAGACCAGTTGGGACAGCGACAATCACTTCGTCCCCATCTATAAATCAAAATGGACAAATAAATATCCTTTTGACGTATTGCCATCTATGAAGTGGCTTTCGGTGTAAGGAGATTCTTCTCGGCAACTTCATCGAGCCTTTATAATAATCCCCAGATAACAGTTTTTGTGGAATAACATACATACTCAGACAACAATAAAAGAGCTTCATTACTGAAACAAACGTTCTTAATGAAGCATCCATCATCTTCGTTCTTTTTCAAAAAACCACTGAGACGTTCTCAATTTCTCCTGAGAGTTACGTGCTGATGTTGTGTCTGAAAGCGGTATATTTTCAGTCATCAATCATGCTTTAGTATTCTGCAAACCGAGCCCTGCGGAATTTCCAATTCAGTGCCATGACGTCCAGTTGGCTTTTTTCGGTGCTGTCAGCAAATAATCTACGTGGGGCGCCATTTTCTTTCCTCTGCAAGCATTGACAGAGCGAGCTGAATGAATGAGTTTACCTCAGAGTAGACCTCACGTCCATTCGCGAACCGCAGCTGGAAACCATGTCTGCTTTACGGTCTATTGACCTCTCAAATGGAGTTTGACCGTTTCGGGACTGTTGACCAACCCCAAAAGTGAACACAGAGTGAGGCTCCAGCTGCCTCAAGCGCCCAGTTTTGTGATATGATTGAACAACAAAGACCCTGTCCGTTTTACTCTATTCTATAGTGACCGTTGAAAGCACGATCAAAATGATGTTGTGTTATGTAATGCCCACAGTTCATCGAATTTCCTCTCAGTTGTGGTGCAATTTTTTCTGCAACCGTTTCACTTATGGAGATTTTACTTTTGTTTGACATGTATTGCTAATTTGATAAAATTTAATTTAATTTAATTTGTATTAAATTTATTTCATTTTATCTTTTTGTTCCTTAAGTCTGATTTAATTTTAATGTATTCGTTAAATTGAACTCGCGTGATTACAAAGTATCTTTAAAAAGAAGATATGTTTCAAAAGGCAATAACACGTTCATCGTTGCACCAGTTTCAACATCTATAAAAAAGATCAACCAAAGAGACGTCAATTTCGTCAGTATGAAAATATTTAACTAATATGTTCGAGAAATATCTTGTTTGTTTGGGGGTTTTTAAAATTTCAACCGAAACTGAGTGAAAACGTAAATCTTTACGTCTTAAGAGTCACCACTATGTGTTTGTGAACATTAAATAGCTTGCTTGTTTTCTTTTTTAAACTAACACTGCAAGATGAAAAAAAGGCAGGGACTGATGAAATACCAGCCCCTGGTCCAAATGACACCCAGAACGAAATCATTAGACGCTTACCCACAGAAACACTCACATTTCTACTACTAGACTTATACACAACGACATGTGGCGGTCGCTCACCTTTCTGAAGTCTCGGCGACTTGCCACTGTCACTCCAATAATGAACAAACACCACACACTCATCACGAGTTTTTAAGTCGTGGAAATCCGGCGACCATTTATTTGAAAGTTTTCGGCTTTTAGGTCTAGTGCACATCTGAAGCTTTTCTGACAACCACACGTGAACCACTTTTGATGTGTGGGGTGTGACCAAACCAGTTGAAACCAGGAACCCTCAACATCATTACCCTTCCTTCTCCACAATTTTCTCAAAAACTTTATCGGCACGATGAGATATTCATCTCATGTGACAGTTGTAATTTTACCGACCTCATCCTGAAACAAGGACGGACCAATTTAAACCAAGAAGTATGCAGTGTACTTGTATACATAGAAGGGCTTTTCACTAATACAAATATGATAGGAG